TACGGAACTTATTTTTACAAAATAAGTAATTTTGTTGTTCCTAGTACGAGAACAAAAGTGAAAATTTATCGTCTCACTAAACACTTATCAAAGGTGGTTTATATCAAAAATAGTGAGACTAGATATAACACTGAATGTCTATACCAACTAGATAACATTAACTACGAATACAAAGTTGTTCAGTTTCGTTGAAAAAGAAGGTTAACCAATTGCATTAAGCCAAACACCAATCGTTTACATGCTCTTATCAGGGTCAAAACTCGAAATTTGAAAATTGTTATTGTACTCCATGATTATCTGCTCGAAAAGGTATGAAAGCTTTGTTAATAGTATCAAATCGGAAAAGCCGGAAAAAATCCAAAATATGATGATTCATATTAACAACGGTTCCAGTAATGAACATCGAAGATGCAAGAAACCTTGGTGGAATACAGAATAAACGGAGCTCTGGAACGATGTGTGCAAATCGGAAGCTATGTAACTTAAAATCAAAAGTCGTCATTCGAAAAAGCACTTGCGCCATATATATTGTCAAAACAGGAAACTCTTTGCCAAAAATGTACAACAGGCAAAATGGCGTTATTGGTATAATGTTCAGGATGATTTGACCAGTTCATGTGATAATCCGAAGGAATTCTGGCGAAAAATTGGCAATGATGCAGAAAGGCAACGTAATATACCGATGGAAATAAAACTAGATGATGGTTCGGTATCAACAGATACAGATTCAATCTTAAATAAATGGAAGAATGATTTTTCGTCAATGTTGAAATGTAGAAAGTAGTCTACTGCCTTCTGATAGTGTCAATGCTAATGATCAAAATACTTCTGATTCTTTATTGGATTGGGAAATTTCATTGGATTGCGAAATTTCAAGTGAGAAAGTTTTTGATGTATTGAAAAAGGCTAAAAATGGGAAGGCGCCCGGTCTCGATGAGCTACCGGTAGAAGTGTTAAAAAACCAAACAGCTTTATTATTTTTAGTTCGTTTGATAAATGTTTTACAATACGTGGAAGGTTCCTGTTCTATGGGCCAAATGTGTATTTGTACCAGTACCGAAATGATAATGTTCAGTCTTGTATCAAGTTGAATGGTATCTTAACTGACTGGTTCCCAGTTAATACTGGTTTGAAACAAGGTTGCATTATTTCACCATTATTGTTCATTTTTTTCATTAAAGATTTAATTGATGAAGTCAGAAAGTTAAATGTTGGTATTAACATAGATGAAGAAAAGTGTGTATAATGCTACATGCAGACGATGTAGTTTTCTAAACAGAAAATGAATGTGAATTACAAAATATTTTGAATACTTGAGAATGTTGGTGTGATAGAAATATGATAAAATGTTAATCTAGAAAAATCACACCTTCTGTGCCATGTACCAATTTTTCTTTTGTTTTTAATGGAAAATTTGTTGATTAAGTATCAGATTATACATATTTAGGTTTATTGTTAACCGAACATTTGAGTTATGAAGATATGGCAAAAACAGTTGCTAAATCTGCCAATAGGGCATTAGGGTTACTAATAGCAAAATGTAACGCTCATGGTGGTTTTCAAAATGTTGTATATACAAAACTGTTCAAGTCAATTGTATGGTCAGTGATTGATTATGGTGCCTCTATTTGGGGTACTAAGAAATTTTCTTGTATAAATGCTGTTAAACATAAAGCTATGAGATTTTGTATGGGTGTGGGAAGATATACACCTAACATAGCACTTTATGGAGATATGGGATGGAAACCATGTATTGTTAAACAATGGTCTGCCATATTTAGAACTTGGTCACGATTAAATAAGATATCTGATTGTAGACTTAATAAGAATTTTTCCTTTGGAGTAATAATCTCAGTTTTGATAAAGTCAAAAATTAGAACTGTAGAGTGAATACAAAGTTTAAAGAACTTGATCTTAATCAGTATTGTAATATTGAATATATTGTGAGAAAGTCTGTTATGAAAGATATTGAAATTTTTTTTTATCATGTACCAGAATAAATGGCATTCAAATTTACTAGGTAATGAAAGTAGTAAATTGCGTACTTACAGGTTATTTAAATCAAATATTGTTCATAACACATTTAAGTATTGCTATGCCGGGTAAATACAGAAGTGCATATGCTAAATTTAGAGTAGGTGTTGCTCCAATTAGAATTGAAACTGGCAGATATGAAGGTATAGATGTAAAGGAAAGGTTTTGTTTTAATTTTTAAAAAATGTGTGTTTTACAGTCTCTCATAACTCTTTTTAGAGTGGCTCTTTTATAAATTGATCTGTTATTATTATATTGTGTTTTATATCAAATGTTTTAAAGAGGTGAGACTCTAATGAAGTATTTTTTTGTTGGTTTGTTGTTTGTTTACAAAGTGATTTAACACAAGTTTATTTGTAATTATCTTAAATTAAGTGCACATAATATTCTTCTTAAAAAAGGTTCTCACAATTTTTTTTTGATAAGAATTATAATTATAATTGATACTGATATGAAATATAGGTAAAGTCACAAACAGTATCATAAACCTTCACGAGATTTTAACCAAATTTAAGTTAGAAACTTCTCTGATGTGCACAGTCGTCTACACGTGAGCGAGATTACATGAAATCTGCACAAAGAAGAAAAAGACAGGTTAAAGTCACCATTGTATGGCGCGCATATGATCAAAAATATAAAAAAAATAAACAAAAATTATAATTGATGATTTTATGAATTAGATAGAATCATTCAGTACTTAGAATCTCTGTATAAATAGTTTTATTATATAGTATCAATTATATTTTCAGGTCTTTTTCTTTCCAAAATAAAAATGCAATGTTTGCCGATATTTTCACTGGTTTTATAGAATAAACATGAAAAGTTTCTTGCATTTCCGATCTGTTGAAAATATTGCATCTTGATCGATATTGCACTCAACATTTTATACTTAAAGTTTGGTACATACGTACTAAAGAGGTCTCGAGTAAAACGACATTTGCACGCAATTAAACGAGAGGTAAATAAGATGGTGGAAATGGACATTGCGTCCTTACTGCGGACACTAGAGATGCACGAATTAGACGAAGCATCATGAATGTTGCTAAAATACTTTATATTATAAAAGGTAGGGGCGTAGCTAGACTAAAATGATGTGCATGCCGATGTACCATTTTAAGACAATTTTACGCAGAAAATTATATTTTTTTCGGTTTTCGGTCATAGGAGGGTTAAAAGAGATGCTACATAGGACTTATAGACAATTCATGATTGCAAAACTATTCAGAATTATTTTGAATAGGGTAAATGATGGTAAATTGAATACATAAGCAACACATTTTTGTGAGACAGAATTTACTCAAAATTGTCCAAAATCTGCTCCTCGGGTCTTAGCAGAAACGAACTTCTTCATTACTTTATCAATATTCACACTGAAATCCTGATGAATATGCATTAATGCTAGCAATGATAACCTATCGTTATTCATGGTTGATCTTACATATGTTTTCAACCGACGTAGTACACTAAACAATCTCTCCGCGGTAGCACTTGTTACCGGCATTGTCAACATTATACTCAAAATAGTATCTACAGAAGGATACAGCACTGGGCTTACCGCATCGAGTGTCTCACACAGCGAAGTTGGCATCTGATCGCGAGGTGTAATACACCAGCATGGTCGTCATCGACCGACCTCCCGATTGAATTCGCCTGTCTCAAACAATGTTGCGATTTGTTCGTTGGTTATATTTCCTACAACACGAGGAAGCAGATACTGCGAAAAGAAGCGATTTTCTGATGATATCAAACGCGACTTTAGTTCCATTAGCATGTGGTCTATGAACGCAAAATATAATGAAACTTTCCAATACTGTTTTGGCGTGTTTGCAGGGTGATTGGCTCTGGTAGTCTGTCGACCATATCGCCTCGGCATATTTTCAACGATATCGAAGGGTTCGGATACATTTAATGCCGATTGGTACATTGGTAAGGATGATACGTCCGGAACGTACGTCATGATTTAAATAAAACTTTTATTTTGAAACCAAAGGCCGTTATTTAATGACATTTCATCAATTAAAAAAGCGACAACATATATGTGTTTCCTTTAAACATTTTATTCATATTTTTTTGCCCTTTTTTTTCAGCATGCCGATGTGCACGCAACTGTATGTTGGCGTATAGGGCGCGTCTGAAAGGGTTGTTGCATTTAAATTTAGGGATATTGTCCTTCGCAGTATATCATTGATTGCACTCGCAAGATTGTATAATGTGATATACTGTGAGGAACAATATGGACATTATTCCTCAATATTAGTGAAAGCCCGTAAAATATAATATACTGCGAGGGATATAATTATTATTCCTCTATGTATTATTGCAATAACCCTATATTATGAATTAAAGGGTGCAATTTTATTTACAAATGCGAGAGAACGATTTGGAAAGTGTCTACAAAAAAGGATAACAGAACATACGAAAAATCGACCATAATCAACCTTAACTCTGTAAAGCTTGTCAAGACAAAAGAAAGCAATTTTATACAACAAAATACAATTAAAACGGGGCAAAAGTATCAACAGGAAAGTCCTGTTCAGGAATAAAAGCAACACAATGAAGGATCGCTATATTGACCTTTATATCCATATTTATTGGATACCTTTATTTTGAAATCCAACAAGAATGGGCGTCCACATGACATTATGCCCCGCTCGCATTATTACATTTCCATGTCCAGTGAACCGTGAAACTGGGTCAAAACGAACAAAAGTTCCCACCACAATAAACATATTTACGTAGTTTCCAGTTGATGTAACCACAACTTCGTGGTAAACTACGGGGGCTCGACAAAAACATTAACCTAATCGAACAAATAGACTAACGGACGAACGGACCCACAAACCGGGCATAAAAATGCTGAAGAATTAGGATGAATACATGTGTCGTTCATATTCAATGTATTTCCGATGCGTTTGAAACCAAAAAATGTGAAGTCAACCTATACACAAACATTTTAAAGCAAAGGGTTGTTCATGTGTAAAATATTTAATTACGTAAATGTAAAATTATGAAAATAAAAATTTGTAAAAATAATATCAAAATACAATTTGATCTATATGCATAGGTTAACATTATATGTCATCTTTCTCAAAAACATGAACTTTTTGTATACCTCTACCTTTGTAAACTTGTTTCCAGTTAGTTGTAAGGTAAGGATATCTGACCTTTCCGTACCATCGGTCGGCGTTGTATCTTAACATGTCGGTATTGTAATTATACATAACACCTATCGTTAGTGAACCTTTAGGTTTTGTCACACACCATGCTCTTGCAATTGCAATGATATCGCCCCAAGGATTTAATCCGTCTCCATACCTACCAAGTCCAGAATGTTCTACTGAACTAAACGTAACTATAGCATCAAATGTTCCAAGAGTGCCATTTAAATACATCATACGAAATTCATATGGCACCAAAGTTTTTACCTTAGGGTGTGTTGATGTTATACGCCCATATTCTAAAGTTACTACTTCACGTGCACCTGCTTCTAATGCACAAGCCTCGACCCAAGGATTTTCCGATCCAATTACTAGAACTCGTCCATCTTTGATTGATGATGCGTGTCGTAATCCATCTCGTAAAGCATTTGTTTCATCAGCATAATAAGTTCCTTGTAATGTTCCGTTCTTTGCTCTTCCTACCCACAGGTCAATCATTTCTTTAGACCAAAATGAAGTCTCTGCCTTTTTCCCTAAATACTGTTGATTAAAGTATAAATTAGAGACCCTTACTCGACCATTCATTGTATAAGCATCCAACAACTCCTTCGGAATTCTTCTCGGTGCGACTTTAAGGCCATGTCCTCTATCAATATAATCGTTTTTAAATAAAGCTGTGCAATCGATTGGAGCTTTTATATGATCAAAATATGGTCCGGGTAATCCATGTCGGGAAGTGTTGCATAGCTGTCCACAATCTCTGAGGATGACCGGAATTGATTCGTGAAAGTCAAGAGGTTGATTTTGTTGAGAGGTTAATGTATCAGCATTTTTTTCTGAAACACTGTTTTGTTTATTACCGAACTGCTTCGTGTCAGAATTACTAATCTGAGTTTTTGATGTTTCCGGTATATTCAATGACCCCGCCTGAACTAGATTTTTATTGAGCACTATATTTCCTTGACTTTCACTTTCACTGCTATTTTTTGTACTATATAGTCGATAAATTGTAATTACCATGATAACCAAGCCAAATAAAAGCAAGAAATTCTTTTGTTTCAAATTCATTTTCTTTGAAGTTTATTCCTGAAAAAAAATTAAATAATAATTAATTGGCATTATTATGCGCTTTGTGAATATTTTCCATGCAAAAATATGATGCTATCATTCAGTCTATTATTTTTTTTAAAAACGTTTTCAGAAAACAAGTAGATGCATGCGCTTAGTGAACACTCCGTGTTTAGCTAATATAGAAGAGGAAACCATTCTTCTCCATGTTAACTTATGCTACACATTAGCAGACTGGGTGCTATTGATTTCGAAAGGTTTTATAGAATAAACTTTAAAAAGACTCCGTCCAGCGTTTTCTGAGTGTTCAAAATGTGCCGAAAATTGCTTCGTAGGGTTTAAAGTTCACTACAATTATGATAAAAAATATCTATAAAATGGAAAAAAATAATTGACATTTTAAACAAACTATTGACACAAAAATATGTCTCGCCTGTATTTAATTTTAATAAAAAAAATTTAAATGTTGATATTAATATGACAATACTTCAGACACCAAAAGTCAATCAACCATGACTGAAGGTTCAGTTTCAAATTACCTGCGTGGAAACAGCACGCATAGTAATCCAATAGAAGGATATCCTGTAATGCAAAATGTTCAAAACCATACAAAAAAATGCAAATTGTAATAAAACTGTCTTCGGTAACGATGCGTGTCCCCTATTATTGGAACATTTTTGAAATCATGTGTATGTGTTAAATATAGATATTATATTTAAAAATATATAATAACTTTCGGCTTTTGACACTTTTATTGGAATAAATGAAGGGGAAATTGGCCCTGCCTTTTTTATACTAACATGAAGTTGTATGTTTTCAACTAAAATGAATGATCTTTATTTTGGCAAAAATTACAAATTAAATTAGTTTGTGGTTCAATGTGAAAAAAATGCAGCACTAAAATGGTAAATTCATAAATTCTGTGCGAAATATTTTTACATAAAATTACATCATACTTGTTTAATACTATGTTTATTAATTGATAATAAGAAATACTCTTATGTAAATATATAACCACATTTATGTATCATATATATAGCCAAGTATGTCTATCACTCACAAGTCATCTCGTTGCATTTTCAATCAGCCAAATTTGTTCGTGTTTTCTAAATTTTTTATTTCTTTATTATATTATATTATATTGTCACATGATTTTATATTGTTTTGTAATTACGATGATTATTCTGCTTAGTAATGGGCGCTGTGATTTGCACACTAAAATATCTTGTATCTTGTATCTTTGTTGTAATTTTTAAGTAAAATTGAGAATAGAAATGGGGAATGTGTCAAAGAGACAACAACCCGACCATAGAGCAGACAACAGCCGAAGGCCACCAATGGGTCTTCAATGCAGCGAGAAACTCCCACACCCGAAGGCGTCCTTCAGCTGGCCCCTAAACAAATATGCATACTAGTTCAGTGATAATTGACGTCATACTAAACTCCAAATTATACACAGGAAACTAAAATTAAAAATGATACAAGACTAACAAAGGCCAGAGGCTCCTGACTTGGGACAGGCGCAAAAATGCGGCGGGGTTAAACATGTTTTTTGAGATCTCAACCCTCCCCCTATACCTCTAGCCAATGTAGAAAAAACAAACGCACAACAGTACGTACAGTAAAACTCAGAATAAGAGAAGTCCGAGTCCGATGTCAGAAAAGGAAACAAAAGAAAATAAACAAAATGACAATAATACATAAATAGCAACAGACTACTAGCAGTTACTGACATGCCAGCTCCAGACCTCAATTAAACTGATTAAAAGATTATGTCTTCATGATTTCATATCAGGCACAATCCCTCCTGTTAAGGGTTTAGTATTATACCGTCATAAAATATATGAGAAGAACATAACCCGTGTCATGCCAACAAGTGGTTTTAGAATAAATGTGTTTAATTCCGATGCAAAGACCCTATAAGTGAATTAATATTAAAGCCAAAATATGCAATCTTTAATGACCTGACAACAGTATCGTAACTATATCCCTTCTTAATAAGCCTGTTTAAGTGCATTTTTTTTGTATAATTATATATAACAATTGTTACTACTATAGTATGCACTCACCCAATGGCAAATCTTGTTTAAAAAATTATCACCCTTCAAATTTCGATGTTCGATTTTTGGCATGTTCTGTACGAGGAAACTTTTACATCATCAGCCGAGTAGAAATTTTTTGGTCATCACTGAAATAAAAATTTTAATTGATTATTGTTTCTATTTGATGATATATAGTATATAGAACTAATAATAATAATGTTGGTATAATCGTTATTTGTTCATCCTAACAAAAGTCCTGACATCATAAGTCATAAGATGACCAAAGGAGAAGGTACAAAATGAATGATACGGCTACTTTTTGGTCCCTTGAATTATAGAGTATAATAAATATAACAATTAATATCCTTCAGAAGTTCCCAAGACATTCGTTTGTCAGACATCAGTATTTTCAATTTTGAACTTTTTCTTACATTTTTACGTTAGGGCTTTAAACTTTATGAACTGATTGGAAAACTATAATAAAATACTTCCAAAACAGTCTCATTTTGAGATGTTGCCACCAAATATTATTATATACTAATGTGTCCCGATTATTAGTTATGTGTGGTGTTAAACCTCCTACAAAACAATTTAATGATCTAAGTCGGATGGTTATTTCAAGATTCTATTAACCTGTTCAATTATCAATAAAATTAGCATAATCTTAAAAGACTTGAGTAATTCTATTATTTTTGCAATTTCAGGGGCCAAATAATGGTTTTTAATCATACCTTCTCATTTGTCCCGAAAATATTGCAGTTCCACTTAGAGTCTTTAATAAATTACTGCAACAGTGCAAGTATCCATGCTTAGAGACTCTGCGTCTAGCTAGAACTTGATATTGCAAATCAAACATGGAGATAATGTATTACCTTCCAATAATAGACCAATGCCACAGGTAAAATCTTTGAACGTGTTATATATCGATTTAACTCCATAGAAATTTATTTAAATATGAGAATAAATCGATGTTCAACGGTTTACCAATTATTAGAAATTTACAATGCTGGAAAAGAAGAAGAGATGTTGTTTTTTGTTTTTTTTGGCGAATTTTCTAAACCCTATGATTAAGTTTTGGAAAATGGATTGCTACATAAAATGAAGGCTTAATGTAAACATGATAATCTATTTAAATATTGTAAAAGATACACGAATGATAAAACGAAGATTGGTTATAAAACAGTATTTTCAAACTTTGCAATATATCAGCTGGAGTTTCTATTACATTGCATAAAAACAATGAATAAAACGCAGAGATTAGTCTTGCCTGTACGTAATTTTAATAGTAAAATGCAAATATTGAAATCATAACGAAAACATGTAATCTATGCAAAACATTCAAAGTCAATGAACCATGACAGAAGGTGCAGGACCAACGGGAGATGCACGTTTGGGATAATTGTATAACATTTGGCCTAAAAATGTGGAACGTTTGGGCAAATGGCAAGTCGACTTTTCGGCTTAATCTTTAAAGCGAATTCGGGTTAATCATCCCATGTAAATCTCCGTGGAAATAAGTTATGCCAATGCGAATACAATTGCATATCAAATATTTGTTACTTGTCTTTAAGCCCCGGTCACACCTTACCGGATAGCGCGAACGGACGCCGAACGGATAACTTTTTTTCAATCCGTTCATGTCCGTTAGAAGTCCGTTCATATCCGTTAGACGTCCGTCCATATCTGTTTCATGTCCGTTCAGCTTCCGTTTTATCCGTCGACGTCCGTTCTGTCCGGTGGAAAATTTTGAGCATGTTCAAAACTTCGAACGGACGTCAAACTGATAAAGTGTCCGTTTAACGTCCGGTAGTCGTCCGTTTTTAACGGTACTCGTTTCGTTTCCGTTTTGTATCCGTTACTTGTCCGTTACACATCCGTTGATGGTCCGATAGACCAATTCACCAACGGACTACTACCGGACGTATAACGAACGTATAACGTATAAGACGGGTGATAAACGGATGTGAAACGGACATGAACGGAAGGATAACAGATAAAACGGATACGTACCGAATGTGAAACAAATAAATGCCAATTGAAAATTTCGCGTTAGAAATGCCAATTATTGGTATGTCATATTTCTTGAATGTCATGAATGTTTATTATTCATAATGGATCGCTGAGTAAGGGCACGTCTTCACTATCAAACAGCTCTTATTTAGGCCAGACTGAACTTAAATGTTGCAAATATAAACCTTCTAGACTATAAACTACAACCAGTTACACGAAAACTTTAAAATTATTTTAAGGTCACGTTTATGTGATTTACATGTATTAATATTGCCGCCTTTAATTTCCCGCTCAAGCCTCGGTCACACCTTAACGGATAGCTCGAACGGATGTCGAACGGATAACTTTTTTCAATCCGTTCATGTCCGTTAGACGTCCGTCCATATCCGTTTCATGTCCGTCTAGCGTCCGTTTTATCCGTCGACGTCCGTTCTGTCCGGTGGAAAATTTTGAGCATGTTCAAAACTTTGAATGGACGTCCAACGGATGAAGTGTCCGTTTAACGTCCGATAGGCGTCAGTTTTGTACGGTTCTCGTCCGTTTCGTTTCCGTTTTGTATCCGTTACTTGTCCGTTATACATCCGTTAGAGGTCCGGTAGACAAATTCACTAACGGACTTCTACCGGACGTATAACGGATAAAACGGATGATGAACGGATGGGAAACGGACATGAACGGAAGGATAACGGATACCTACCGAATGTAAAACGGATAAATGCCAATTGAAAATTTCGCGTCACTCAGAAATGACAATTATTGATATGTCAGATTTCTTGAGTGTCATGAACGTCTATTACTCATGATGGATCTTGGAGTAAGAGCATGTCTCCACTATCAAGCAGCTCTTATTCAGGTCCGACTGAACTTAAATGTTGCAAATATAAACCTACTAGTTGTCGAAAGGAGAAGGAGGAGAAAACAAAGGAGATGGTGGGCAAGATCATTGCTTAGTCCTGAAAGATATGTATTATTATTATCGCTTTTAATTTTCCGCTTATCTTGTTCATCCGTTTTATCCGGTATGCTTCCGTTAGGCGTCCGTTTTATGCGGTACTCGTCCGTTGGATGTACGTTCGACGTCCGTTCTGTCCGGTACGTTTCAGTTTCTCGTACGTTGCATATCCTGTGAGTGTCCGTTAGGCATTCGTTACCCGTTCGTTTTATTTGATCAGTATACCAACGGATACAAATTTTGTCAACGGAAAACTTTTTTTTCATCCGTTTGGCGTCCGTTCGAGCTATCCGGTAAGGTGTGACCACAGCTTTATCTTGTTTATCCGTTTTATCCGGTACGCTTTCGTTAGGTGTCCGTTTTATGCGGTACTCGTCCGTTGGATGTACGTTCGACATCCGTTCTGTCCGGTACGTTTCCGTTTCTCGAACGTTACATATCCGGTGTGTGTCCGTTAACCATTGCGTCCGTTTTATATGGTCAGTACACCAACGAACTCCCAACTGATACAAATTTTGTCCACGGAAAACTTTTTTTTTCATCCGTTCGGCGTCCGTTCGAGCTATCCGTTAAGGTGTGACCGCAGCTTTAGCGAATGAATTCTTTATTCCCACAAAATGAAATATAATTACAGAGAAAACATATACAATTATAATAACATTAACAGAGATTACGTTTTGAAAAATGTTAATATTCAACAAACAAGAAACAATTAACTTGGAGGAATGACTTTCACAATTACGTTTATTTTTTTTATAAATCTGGCGAGTTTGTCAAGAAAAGCTTTGTTTGACGGATTAAATGCATTGTAATTGATCAAATTTGTAGATACTTAAGTTAGTACCAGAATGAATGATCTTTATTCTCATAAACCAAATACATAGTTACAGAGAAGATATTACAATAATAACAAATATTAAATATAGCATGTGTGAAATACAAATTAATATGATAAATATTTACACAAAAGATAAATAAACATATATGAGCAGACAGTACTTTTCCAATAAAATTCAATGCATTATAAGACAAAATATAGTTATGATCGTCCCCGATGTCGTTTGATTCACAAATGTGGCATGTTATTTCATTTCTTGTAGCAATGATGCTGAATGGATAGCAATGATGATGAATGAATAGCAATGATGCTGTATGGATAGAAATTAGGCTGAATTGAATGTCAATATTGATAATATCATTATAAGTGCATCCGAGAATGTTGATATGCCGAGGAAACTGAAATACAGATCCAGTACGAAAATTTTGAAAAACTCTTATATTTATTTTTTATCCAATATTTGGATAAGCCAGCGAAGTTTGGGATAACATGTGAGTGATTAATATTAATAAGCTGGAGCAATTACTGCTCAAGCTGCTCGAATAGAAGCGGGTTTACCTATTTCTATGTGCCCAAGGAAAAATTTACAAAGAACTTGGGTCGAAAACTTTGGCTGAAAGAATGGAGAGAAGAAATATTTAAATGTTTTATATAATGTTCAACAAAATTTGTACCAGAATATTCTAGTAATTTAATTCCTACAACAATATGACTGTCTTTTCAATACGAAATGGAGATGCTATAAATTAAATTATTTATAATAAAATTGAGAATGGAAATGGGGAATACAAGCCTGGAAATATCGTGGCTAGTCACATATTAGATCGGCACATATTTTTGTATTGGAGTAGAAGTTTCTATGTTCAGTTTCAATTTTACCGATTGTATCAGCATCACGGGTTGAAGCACCAAGGTATTAAATATTCCATAGACGTGTAGTTGGTGGTATTATAAATAATTCCTTTGTCAATCAAGTCTGCATAATATAATTATTGTATTGTATGATAAACACCCAGGTTATTTTTGTCATTTAATAAATTACACCGGTTTTTGTTGTTGTTATTAACGCTAGTTGTAAAAACGTATATATAGAATTTATCTTATCTTACAGTAGAAATTTTACCTTACCTTGGTTATGTGTGTGTGAGCAAGTTGAAAGTTGCTTCTCATATTTATTTGGCCGGACTTTTACTTAAAATTCACAATTTTGAAATTGATTTAGTTTAAATTTTGGTTTCTATTTACATTTCATATCCAGGACTTTTAATCAACATGTTTTGATGTGTTATTTTGAAATTCTCAGTTCGGACATTGAGTGACATGTTTTAATCTGTTACCTTATTAGTGCCAATTTACCTTAGAATATTTAATATCATAACTGTATTTTCTTAGCATATAGAAAAGTGCTCTCGACCAATGAAATTATAAGATTTGGTGTTTCATAATAGTGAAGTATAAATGTAAATCATGTTCTTGTAAGGGATTATCATATTGTTTAGGCCTATTTACAGTTCGAAACAAACAAAAAACAAACATTCTATAAATAAAATACAACTGCCTCGAAGCACATTTATCAAGACAGACTGCTTGAACGGATTCTTCATTGAAAGTTGAATTTTTAAACAAACAAAAAAATAAAAATAAGTCTGATGTTTACCAAGTGATACAGTAAAATTGGTGCCGTTAACCTTATGTGAATATGTAGAAGTTCAAAATTATAAAAAATACAGCAATATCATAGCAATGCAAAAAAGAGGAAACACTTTCAAAATTAGATATAACCTAAATCTTAAGCTAATACGCTTACCAAAACTGAGATTAATGTATCAATTTATCTGCAGTTAGTAAGAATAGTCATTTCCAATATACCGATACAATTAAAACAGGAAATTAAATTATCTTTAACTTAACAAAAGCATTTTATTTGATCATTCACATTTTTAATTAGTTAATGAAGTAGTGTTTGGCTTGAATAAAATTGGCAGTGAAATACAATTTAGTTGTAACACATATTTTGAATGTATTATATTGAACTGTAAATAAACAAAAATATAATTTCTAACTAAAACGTTACATAATTTACATTCATACTCAC